CTTGATATGTTCAATTAGCAGTGAGAAAGCTAGTGTGGCTGAGCCAAGAGAGGGAAAGAGAGAGAGGAGATGAGATTCCAGACAATCAGCAGGTCTACATCAAGGAGAGTCTTGGGGGAAGGTGAGTTTTAAATTGTGGTAAAATATAGGTCAAGTAAAACTCATAATTGAAAATACTTTTAAGTGTACAGTTCAGTAGTGTTAAATATATTCACATTGTTGTGCAACCAATCTTGAGAATGTGCAAAACTGAAATTCTATGTCCATTAAACAGCTCTCTATTTCCATAAAATCTCCCAGATGCTGGAAGCCTCCATTCTGCTTTCTGTCTCTAAATACTTGACTGTTCTGGGTAAGTCATATAAACGAATTTATCTGTATTTGTTATTTGGTGACTAGCCTATTTCATTTAGTATAATATCCTTAAGGTTCATCTTTATTGTGGCATGTATCTGAATTTCCTTCTTTGAAAGCCTGGAAACATTCCACTGTGTGGATGTACCACATTTGGTTTACCCATTCATTAGAACTTTGGTTTTTACACAGAGCAGGCAATATGCTAGCTGCTGGGTTACAACAGGACAAAGGTGAACTAGATTTCCTGACTTTGTGTAGGTCAGCATGTGGAGAGAACAGGGACAAATAATATATGTTCACAAAGGTAACCATGTCTGTAATGGGACAGACTCGTTGTTTGTGCCCTGGACCCTTGAGTCCTGGTTATGGGAGAAATCAGGGCCTTATAAAGGATGATGATTTAGAAATTTTGCACCTCCCCAAAGAACAGTGCACCATCCCTATGGGGAATCTCCACCCAGGACAGACTCTCTGTTCTCAAAAGCCCATTCCACTGTTTTGTTAGGCCACCTGCTTCAGGATGGTTGGAAAAGGGAAGGACCGGTGAATTTCATGAGCAGTTGCTCACTGTCATACTTCATTTCCTGTGCAGTGTGTGTTGGACACCATGATGATTAATAATACACCTGGAAGCATTGCATGTAGGAAATGGAAATCTGTATCCAGCATGAATGTCTCTCCCAGAGAAAACAAAACACTGCCCTTTCATTGGCCAAATTGAAAGGACTGATCATCCCAGGGATTGTTCTCATCCCATGGAAAGGACTCCATCTTGGGTCTCATTTTGAATTAAAAATACCTATCTTACCTTCACTTTTCACTGTACTCAATGTAATTTGTTGAAAAAAGTCTGTCCCTTCCACATTGAATGATAGTACAGTTTTGCCTCACTGCTTAAGTTTATTGCTAAGAATTTTTATTCCTTTTTGAACTGTTCTTCATGAGCATGAGGAAGCACAATAACTTAGGTGTATTGATTTTATATTGTGCAATTTGCTGAATTTCCCCAGTGAGTCAAAATGTGTGCATTGGTTATTGTGTGTCTCTGTCTGTGTCTGTGTGAATCTGAGGGTTTCTACACATTACACCATTTCATCTGGAAACAGGGATCATTTTTTGCTTCTTTTTTAATGTAGCTTTTCTCATATCTTTTTTCTTGCCTATTTTCTCCAACAGGGTCCTCCTGCACTATGTGGAGTAGAAATGGCAAAAGCAGGCACCTTTCTCTGAAAGGGCATCAGCGTTTTACTCTTAGCTATTACATTTATTTCTTTCCATATATTGGACCATCTTTCAGTTCAGTTCAGTCGCTTAGTCGTGTCCGATTCTTTGCGACCCCATGGACTGCAGCACGCCAGGCTTCCCTATCTGTCACCAACTCCTGGAGTTTAGTCAGACCCATGTCCATTGAGTTGGTGATGCCATACAACCATCTCATCCTCTGTCATCCCCTTCTCCTCCTGCCTTCATTTCCCCCAACATCAGGGTCTTTTCCAGTGAGTCAGTTTTCACATCAGGTGGCCCAAGTATTGGAGTTTCAGCTTCAACATCAGCCCTTCCAATGAACACCCAGGACTGATCTTTAGGATGGACTGGTTGGATCTTCTTGCAGTCCAAGGGCTCTTGTATTGCAAAAACCACTACAATATTGTAAAGTAATTGGCCTCCAACTAATAAAAATAAATGAAAAAAAAAAAGTCTTCTCCAACATCACAGTTCAAAAGCGTCAATTCTTTGGTGCTCAGCTTTCTTATAGTCCACTCTCACATCCATACATGACTACTGGAAAAACCATAGCCATGACTATGCAGACCTTTGTTGACAAAGTAATGTCTCTGCTTTTTAATATGCTGTCTAGGTGGGTCATAACTTTTCTTCCAAGGAGTAAGCATCTTTTTATTTCATGGCTGCAATCACTATCTGCAGTGATTTTGGAGCCCCCAAAATAAAGTCTGCCACTGTTTCCACTGTTTCCCTATCTATTTGCCATGAAGTGATGGGACCAGATGCCATGATCTTAGTTTTCTGAATGCTGAGTTTTAAGCCAACTTTTTCACTCTCCTCTTTCACTTTCATCAAGAGGCTCTTCAGTTCTTCTTCACTTTCTGCCATAAGGGTGGTGTCATTTGCGTATCTGAGGTTATTGATATTTCTCCCAGCAATCTTGATTCCAGCTTGTGCTTCATCCAGCCCAGTGTTTCTCATGATGTACTCTGCATAGAAGTTAAATAAGCAGGGTGACAATATAGAGCCTTGACGTACTCCTTTCCTGATTGGGAACCAGTCTGTTGTTCCATGTTCAGTTCGAACTATTTCTTCCTGACCTGCATACAGGTTTCTCAAGATGCAGGTCAGGTGGTCTGGTATTCCCATCTCTTTCAGAATTTTCCACAGTTTGTTGTGATCCACACAGTCAAAGGCTTTGGCATAATCAATAAAGCAAAAATAGATTTTTTTTCTGAAACTCTCTTGCTTTTTTGATGATCCAATGGATGTTGGATCCAATGGATGATCTCTGGTTCCTCTGCCTTTTCTAAAACCACCTTGAACATCTGGAAGTTCATGGTTCATGTATTGTTGAAGCCTGGCTTGAAGAATTTTGAGCATTACTTTACTAGCGCGTGAGATGAGTGCAATTGTGCAGTAGTTTGAGTATTCTTTGGCATTGACTTTCTTAGGAATAGGAATGAAAATGGACCTTTTCCAGTCCTGTGGCCACTGCTGAGTTTTCCAAATTTGCTGGCATATTGAGTGCAACACTTTGACAGCATCATCTTTTAGGATTTGAAATACCTCAACTGGAATTCCATCACCTCCACTAGCTTTGTTCGTAGTGATGCTTCCTAAGGCCCACTTGGCTTCACATTCTAGGATGTCTGGCTCTAGATGAGTACTCACACCACTGTGATTATCTGGGTTGTGAAGATATTTTTTGTACAGTTCTTCTGTGTATTCTTGCCACCTCTTCTTATTATCTTCTGCTTCTGTTAGGTCCATACCATTTCTGTCCTTTCTTGAGCCCATCTTTGTATGAAATGTTCCCTTGGTATCTCTAATTTTCTTGAAGAGATCTCTAGTCTTTCCCATTCTGTTGCTTTCCTCTATTTCTTTGCACTGATCACTGAGGAAGGCTTTCTTATCTCTCCTTGCTATTCTTTGGAACTCCGCATTCAATGGGTATATCCTTCCTTTTCTCCTTTGCTTTTTGCTTCCCTTCTTTTCACAGCTATTTGTAAGTCCTCAGACAGCCATTTTGCTTTTTTGATTTCTTTTTCTTGGGGATGGTCTTGATCCCTGTCTCCTGTACAATGTCATGAATCTCCGTCCATAGTTCATCAGGCACTCTGTCTATCAGATCTAGTCCCTTAAATCCATTTCTCACTTCCACTGTATAATTGTTAGGGATTTGATTTAGGTCATACCTGAATGGTCTAGTGGTTTTCCCTACTTTCTTCAATTTAAGTCTGAATTTGGCAATAAGGGGTTCATGATGTGAGCCACAGTGAGCTCTTGGTCTTGTTTTTGCTGACTGTATAGAGCTGCTCCATCTTTAGATGCAAAGAATGTAATCAATCTGACCATCTTTAGATTCCAGGAATAAATCTCATTTGGTTATTTTTCACAGTCCATTTAATGTGCTGCTGCATTCAGCTAGTTAGTATGTGCTGAAGATATTTCTATTATTATTCATGAGTATATCCATCTATTGTTTTATTTTTTCATATTGTTTTCTTCTGGTTTTGGTAGAAGAGTAATACTGGCCTCATGAAGTGAGTTAGAGAGAGTGCCCATCTCTTCAATTTTTGAGAAGCATTTGAGAATGATGATTATTAAGTAATTTTTATGTTAAGTAGAATGCAACAGTGAAACTATGTGGCACTGTTCTTTATTGGAATTTTTGGATTACTGATTCAATCATCTTACTAATTATAGGTCTATTCAGATTTTCTATTTCTTCTTGATTCAGTCTTGGTTGGAACATTTCAGGAATTTGTCCCTTTTGTCTGGATTATCGAATCTGCTGATGTGCAGTCGTATATAGTGCTCTCTTTGAATTCTTTGTTTCTATTATTTTAGCAGTAATGCTCACAACATTTGTTTCTTATTTTGAGTAGTTGAATCTTCTGCCTTTTTCTTAGCAATCTATTTAAAGTTTTGTCATACTTGTGGATCTTTGCAAAGAACTGTTCATTGATTTTTATATTTTTTTTCTCTCCTCTATTTTATCTCCCTCTAATCTATATTATTTCATTGTATGTGATAGATCTGAATTTAGTTTTCCTTATTTTTCATAATTTCTTGACATGTAAAATTAAGCTGTTTATAAGATAGATTTGAAATAAAATTTTATTTGAGATAAAGTAAGTGGCTTCTTAATTACATATGTCATGATCAGAAATTGATGATTAATTTTACCTTTTACTAAAAATCAGTATTATGAGAAAAATTCCACGTTGATTCCAGACCAGATTTTCCTAACCCTGCCAAGTCCCTTAAAGCAGTGATTTCACAACAACCATGGGCTCTTTGTGAGGAAATCAGTCCTGAACACAAGATGACAAAACTCTCAGTGTCAGGATGGGCTTGTTCCCTCCAGCCCTGACTCTCTGCCCCAAAGCGGCGACGTTTGAGAGTCACACACTATGATGAAATCACAGAGGTTAGGGGGAAGACATGTTTATGCTCGCTGTTTCCCACCAGGTTGGAGGCGACAGGTGCAGAGCCCCAGGACGGGGGCCTCCCCAGTGGTCCTCCATGAGACTGATGTGAACCGGTAAGAAGAGGAAGCCAGGCTGCTCCGCTCACAGTGACACTGGGGGTGAGGTGTCAGCACCGTGACTCCCTCGTAAATACCTCCTTTATGGTTCTAACTGTGCCGCCGTCTGACATGTCAGCCCGCACGCGTCCTGGAGTGTTTCCCCGGGCTGAGAGACGAGTGTTGGTGGGCATGTGCTGTCTCATGTCATGTTTTCTTTCCTCTGGGTGTGCTTCTGTATCGTGTACCAAAACATGAATTGCAGTGTTTTATAGAAATTGTTTCATGCGTGTACATTCTCTAGTTTTGTGAAAGCTACTGATTATTTTCCCTCTACCAGGGTTAGGATGGTAGGAAGGGCTAACAAGGAATGAAGGAAACACTCTGATCTCAGGCACTGTGCGGGGAAGAGAGAACCTGTTTTGTCCATGAGGTCTGTGGGGGGCGGGGAGGGGTGAGAGGTCAAATTTCCCTGCCTTCCTTCTGGGCAGCAAGCAGGAATGTTTCTGCACATTTCCACTCTGGGCTTAAGAGCTACAGGTATCATGTGATTGACAACTCTGGAATGTTTTCCTAAACTGTGTGGGTTATTACATGGGTATATACTGTCAATATGATTCTGTAAACTGTTTCTTACACATAAAAATTATCATAAACATTATTTAACATGGGCAAATGGACTTTTACATTATTGTTTAAAATCTGCGAATATGATTTCATATAGATGTGGAATATTAAGCCATTGTCATTAATTTTATGCAATAATAAATAAGGGATTATTAATTCTTCCTAATAAGCTTGGAACAGTTCTGTGATTTCAATAAGTTCAAATTTTTGGGTCAAGACCCATGCACTTTCATACAGCATTTGGTATGCATGTGTTATCAAGAAACCTGCTGCGAAACTAGCACTTCACAGTGCAGCCAGCAGAGGGCAGGGTCGTCATTCTTGCCAAATTGAATATTCTCTCTGCTTCACCTTCGAGGCACACAACCTAAGGCCTTCATATTAACGTGCACATTTTTGCTTGTTAAAATCTCAATATTGTTGCCTGTGATTTTAGACCATTGAACTTATTTGTCAAATTATGTGTTTATTCATAGCCTTTGTCTTTAATAATCTCTACTGAGGTGCTGGTCTTTTGCTTATTAATTTATAAAATGCTTTATGTAGTTCTTGTCTGAGCCCTTCACAGTAATTTATCACAGTTTCTTTCTTGCCGTTTAATCCTGGGGCGGAGTGGAGAATTATGAAAATTCTCCCATTTATGTAGTTAAATCTTTTATTTTTCTACTTTTGTTTCATGCTTCAACAAAGTCAAGAATTTATGTGTATACATCTGTATTGAATTTTTAAATCAATGTTTTATTGAGATATAATTCCCCTAATTTAAAATTAAGCCTTTTACAGTGTACAATTCATTGGCTTTTGTGTTTTCACAGATTTGTGCATCCATCCCTACTATCTAACTTAGAACATGAGTATTGCCCCAACATGAAATTCTACACCTATCATCAGTATATTCCCATATTCCTCTCCTCCCAATCCTGGTCAGTAACCTACTCTCTCTGCTTTATTGTTCCGGTATTTCATATAAACATTAATGTAATATATGGTTATTATTAATATATTTTCTGAGTGGTTTCTTTTACTTAGTTTCCTAATGGATTCTCTGTCTGAAAGATCTATTCACTGTTGAAAATGGGATATTGATGTCTCTATTGGCATTGAATTGTTGTCTATTTCTCCCTTGTTATCTGTTAGTATTTGCTTAGTATATCACCATACTCCTATAAAACAGGATGTAAGAAAGGAATCTTTAGAAGATGTGGCTTATCAATTTGAGGTAGTTCCCTCTGCTCCTAGTTTGCTAAGGTTTTATTAGTTAAGGATTTGAGAGTATTTGCTACACTTGATCTGCATACATTCAGATGATCAGGTTTTCTTGCTTTATTTTGCTAATATGGTAAATTATGTTGATTTTTCAGTGGTAGCACAGCCTTTTATTTCTAGAATAATCTCAGGAAAATTATACTGTTTACATGCATATACACACATATACCTATATATATATATATATATATATATATATATATACAATCGATGTGAAGATGTATAAAAAGACATTTGTCTGTAGTATTATTTTCTTCCAATTTTCTTGTCTTGTTTTTATTATGGTAATGCTAGCTGCACAGAATGATTTAGGAAATATTACATATTTTTCTTTTTCCTGGAACAGTTTTTAAAGAATTCGTCTGATCTCTAGATGAAATGTTTTGGAGAAGTTATAGTTTTCTGTTCTTTCTGCCTTTGAGTGCTGTGACAAGTACCATGTCATACTTTTTCTCTTTTTTTGTCTTTAAAGGCCTTGTTTAATTCTATTGGCTAAAATTTATGTAAAATGAATACATTTGGATTTGTTCCTGGAATGGAACAGAAATCAATTTTTCAATATCCAACTTTGTGTCCTGGTTCTTCCAGCTTCAGGAGAACTGGTTGGAGAGAAGTAGATGTTTTTCTGGAACTCTCTTGCTTTTTCAATGATCCAGTGGATGTTGGCAATTTGATCTCTGGTTCCTCTGCCTTTTCTAAAACCAGCTTGAACATCTGGAAGTTCACGGTTCACGTATTGCTGAAGCCTGGCTTGGAGAATTTTGAGCATTACTTTACTAGCATGTGAGATGAGTGCAATTGTGTGGTAGTTTGAGCATTCTTTGGGATCGCCTTTCTTTGGGATTGGGATGAAAACTCACCTTTTCCAGTCCTATGGCCACTGCTGAGGTTTCCAAATTTGCTGGCATAGTGAGTGCTGCATTTTCACAGCATCATCTTTTGGGATTTGAAATAGCTCAACTGGAATTCCATCACCTCCACTAACTTTGTTCGTAGTGATGCTTCCTAAGACCCACTTGAGTTCACATTCCAGGATGTCTGGTTTTAGGTGAGTGTGAGTGATCATACCATTGTGATTATCTGGGTTGTGAAGATATTTTTTGTACAGTTCTTCTGTGTATTCTTGCAGCCTCTTCTTAATCTCTTCTGCTTCTTTTAGGTCCATACAATTTCTGTCCTTTATTGAGCCCATCTTTGCATGAAATGTTCCCTTGGTATCTCTAATTTTCTTGAAGAGATCTCTAGTTTTTCCCATTCTATTGTTTTCCTCTATTTCTTTGCATTGATCACTGAGGAAGGCTTCCTTATCTCTCCTTGCTATTCTTTGGAATTCTGCATTGTAAATATACTACAATGGAATCCTCATAAGAGATGAAGTGTGCATCAATTGAACTGAGCACTAAATTCACTCTTTTTTAAAATTTATTTTACATTTCTTAATTTTTAATGTTTATTGTATATTGGAGAAGAGTTTATTAATAATATTGTGTTGACTTCAGGTATTTAAAGTGATTCAGTTACACATAAACCTGTATCCTTTTTAAAATTATTTTCTCATTTGAGTTATTACAGAATTTTGAACAGAATTCCCTGTGCTACACAGTAGGTCCTTGTTCATTATTAATTGCAAGGATAGTAGTGGAACATTTCATCCTAAACTCCCAATTTATCTCTCACTTTCACCCTTCGCCCTGGTAAACATGAATTTGTTTTCAAAGTTTGTATTTTTTTCTGTTCTGTAAATATGCTCATTTGTATCATTTGTTAGATTCCACATGCAAGTGATATCATATGATATTTGTCTTTGTCAAATTTACATTACTTAGTATGGTAATCTCCAAGTTCATCCATGTTGGTGTAGATGCCATCGTTTTATTCTTATTAATGGTTGAGCAATATTTTATTTTATATATGTACCACAGTTTGTTTATCTTTTCATCTTTCAATGGTCATTTATGTTCATTCCATATCTTGGCTATTGTAAACAGTGGTGTAATGAACAGTAGGGTCCATGTATCCTTTGCAAGCATGTTTTTTTCATATATATGTGTAGGAGTGGAATTGCTGGATCATATGTTAGCTCTACTTTTAGTTTTATAAGGAACTTCAGTACTATTTCCATAGTGGCTCTACCAATTTACATGCCCACCATTTGTTTAAGAGGATTTTCTTTTAGATACATGCTCTCCAGCCTTTACTATTTACATATTTTTAAATGATGGCCATTCTGACTGGTGTGAGGTGATATATCCCTGTAGTTTTCATTTGCATTTCTCTAATAATTTGCAACATTGAGCACCTTTCCATGTACTTTTTGCTCATCTGTTCTTTTTCTTTGGAGAAATGTCTATGTAGGTCTTCTGTCCCCTTTTTGACTGGATTGTTTGTTTGTTTTGATATTGAGCTGCATGAGCTGTTTGTAAATTTTGGAGGGTGATCCCTTTTGTCCATATAATTTACAACTGTTTTTTTATTTTGTGGATTGCCTTTTGTTTTGTTTATGGTTTATTTGCTGTGCAAAAGCTTTTGAGTTTTGTTAGGTCTGACTGGTTTGTATCTGTTTTAATTTTCATTACTCTAGAAAACAGATTGAAGAAGATATTGCTGTGATTTATATCAAAGTGTGTTCTGCCTATGATATCCTCTAAAAGTTTATTATTATTATTTATTTATTTATTATGCACCATGCTGGATCTTTAGTTGTGGCACATAGGATCTTTGATCTTCATTGCAACATGTGGGATTTTTAACTGTGACAGGTGGAATTTTCAGTTGCAGTGTGTGGGATCTAGTTCCCCAACTAAGGATCAAACTTGGGCCCCATACATTGGGGCCCATATGTAAGTTTTAGCCCCTGGACTACAAGGAAGCCCCTCTTCTAAGAGTTTTATAGTATCCAGTTTTATATTTAGGTCCTTAATATATTTTGGGTTTATTTTTGTGTATGGTGTTAATGAATGTTCTAATTTAATTTTTTTTTTTTTGCATATAGCCATCCAGTATTTCCAACACTATTTATTGTAGAGGTTGTCTTTCTTCCATTATATTGTCTTGTCTCATTCATTGTAGATGAATTGAGCATAGGTAGGTGGGTTTATTTCTGGTCTTTTTATTCTGTTTATTTG